AGAGAGAAAAAGGAAGATAGATGTGGCTAACCAGGAACGAAAAAAGGGACTTCACTACAGAGCTTCACAGGTAGTAAGAAAGATGAGACGCCTTTCACAGCACTTTGTCAACAGATTTAAAGATGTCAACAACATGGACCTGTTTCTAGATACAAACAGCGCTTACCAAAAGAGACATTAGAAGAAAGGGAACATCTGAAGGATGCTGTGTCTATTAGTCATTGAGCCCATAATGTGAAACTTTCCCCAGAGAAATCTCTGGGCTCAGGCGTCTGCACCACTGAGTTCTACCGTATTGAAGGGAGCAGTAACACTCGTCTTAAGTTCATTCAGATTGGGGGAAAAGAGGTGATAGGTCCCAATTCGTTGTGAGGCCAGAATAACCTCAGTGCCAGATCCTGATGAGGATATTAAGAGAAAGGAAAACTACAGGCCGATTCCATTCATGAATGTAAATTTAGGGGAAAAGAATGCTCCACAGAATGTAGCAGACCGAGCCCAGCAATTTATAGAAAGGGTGACATCTCATGATCAAGTCACGTTGAAGGGTGGGAGGTTGCTTTAATGTTTGACAGTTAGTGTGATTTGTTGTATGAGTAGAATAAAGGAGAAACAGGGTGGCTGTCTCAAAAGATGCTGGAAGCGCTGAATTTAAGCATGCAGTCATGATAAAAATGCTTAGGAAATCAGAGATTGAAGGGAATTTTCTTAATCTGATCAAATATGTCTACAATTGACTTCATATTTAATGGGGGAACTGTTGAAATGTTTATTCTTGAAATCTGGGACAAGACAGGGATGATAAATTTGTGTTTGACTTTGAACTCAAGGTGTTAGCCAGTACATTCAAAATGGCAAGAAAAAGAAATATAACAGCTAAGAATTGGAAAGGGAAAAATAGGTGACTTGTAGATGAGGTGATTGTTGCAGACCCATTATGAGAATCAGTAATGAAGAAACAAGGCTACTGGTTGCACGATTGGTACAGAAAATCAGTCCTGGGCTCATGAGTCAGAAACAAAATGGTTTTTAAAAAAAAGATAATGGCAGAAAAAATCCCCATATATTTAGGAATAAATCTAGCAAAGGATGAGTAAAGGGATAATCAAAAAGCTTACATTCTTGAGAGACATCAAAGTTCACTTAAGTATAGGGGGAATGACACCGTGTTCATGGCTTTGAAAATTCTGGTTGTGATAGGATCCCAGTGAAAACTCATCAGAGTATTATTTCAGAAAATGACCCAATGATTTAAAAATACATATACGAACATGCAGGGGGCCTTGACTAGCTGGGACACTCTTGAAGAACAACAAAGTAGAAGAACTTGATGTACTAGAGATCAGATGTGTATGAGAAGGTTACAGTAATTAACAATAGTATGGTACTGAAGCAGGGATAAACTAGGTCAGTCAAATAGCCCACATGTAGACCCACCCAGCACAGATGTTTCTTTAATGACAGTGTTGGCACTGCAGAGTACTTAGGTGGAACAGGATGGTATTTTCAGTGAAATGTGCTGGGACAGTTGACTACTTGGGGAGAAAAAGAAAATTGACAGACATCAGCTTGGAAAGGGAGAGCATAACTAGAGACATGAATAACATGAGTAACTCCAGGTGTCCCTGACTGTGAGGAAAAGATTGATAACTTGAAGTGTATTAAAATTAAAAACTTCCAGTCATTATAGGACACCACCGAAAGGTGAGAAGGCAAGCCACAGGATGGGGAAAGGTATTTGTTACACATGAAACCACAAAGTAGAGACCAAGAAGAAAAAGACAGCACAGTAAAAAAAATAATCTGGACACTTCAGGTGTGCGTCAAAACCAGCGATCCCCAAATGTCCAGTAAGCGTTCTCCGTTTCAGGAGTGATCAGGGGAATGCTAATTAAATACTCTGAGAGGTGTGCACCAGAGCACGCAGCTGGCGGGACAGAGTGCTGGAGGTGATGGGGATCAGAACACAGGCGTCTCCTCTGTCGCAGCGCGCCACGTGGGGCGCTGGGGAGTGCTGGTTCAGTGGGAGAAGTCTCGCCTCCGTTCAGCAAAGCCAGAGGGCTTCACGTGTGGACCTCCCGTCTGCCCTTGAGGGTGCGTGTGGGGCTCTGACCTGACCAGGTTTCAGCTTGTTTTCCAGGCTAAGGGGCTAGGCAGATAGGCCTGGGGGTCTGCTTCTGGAAAACAGCCGTTGAAAGATGCGGGGGTTGACAGGTGCCGAGCAGCTCTGCTCGGGGTGTGCTGGGAAGAGGCCAGGCAGCACTCCCCTCTGTCGTGCGTGGGGCTGCCGTGACGCAGGCCGACCACGCCGCAGCCTCCAGCCACCGCCACAGCGGCCATGTAAACGCGTGCAGCCTTTTTAAGATAGTTACATGCTTCCTGCTGAAGGTCCTCGTGTTGGACATTTTCTTCTTTGTCAGTGTAGCCTTTTCCCGTCATTATCTTGGGTCTCTTTCATGTTAGGGCTTTTCTTCTAGTGTTTGGTTGGCGTTTGTCTGTTCACATTGAAGCACGAGTCTGTGATGAGGTGACTTGTGGGTATGTTCCTGTTTGTGAACAGGGCTTGTTGGCTGGCTGGCTGCGATTTGAGGTGTTCACATGAAGTGCTGACCTTTGCGGTGGGTCTCCAAAGTTACAGCGGGGGGCGCTTTTCTCTAGGGCAGACCAGTTTCTCTGGAGGAGAAAACCTGCTGCCTGAAAGCAGGATGCCTGGATAGCAGTGTTCTGTGGGTGGGTCGGTGGTCCCTGTACCGTGGGCATTCTAAGTCTGAATGTGTGCATTGAGGACGAGGGGGAGGGCCTGACGTTTCCTGAAGTGACTTTTAGTGGTGGGCTTTTGGTGCAGCCATAGTGCTAGACCTTGCTTGTCTTGGACCTTTTTTATATATGTACTGTACTCTTTGTGCGTGTGTTTGTGTCCACGCACCCTCACACACACATACACAACACAGAGAGCACACTATAGCTCTGCCAGATGGTTAGTATTATCCTCATTATGTAATTGAGGCTTATTTGATGTGACTTCCAAATTCCTAGTTACTATTTGGCATTGAAGCTTGGATACCAGCCAGAATCTCTGCGTTTTCAGAGTTCGAACACTTCTCTGTTCTGTACTAATTGTTTGTTCAGGTTGGACAAGTGGGAAGATCTAGGAAGTTGGGTACGTTACTGAGATGGATGACAGCGGAGCTTTAAGTAAGAAAATTCTACCTGCAGAGAACTGGACAAGAATGGGGGCTTTATTTATAAAGAGGTGGGCTAGGCACATTTCAGAATAGTGCTTCTTGTTGTAGACCTAGATCAGGTGCTTACAGGATCAAAGGCTGTCGATGTCAAGTTGGGATGGAGGGAGGTGTGTGAAACTTGGCAGAGGGAAGCAGTTTCTTAAGCCTCCACGTGTGGCCTACCCACCTTTCACCGAGAACCCCTTGTGTAGGACGGGCACGCTGGTGAGTAGCTTGGGGAGGCAGTGTGGGGCACTGCTGGGGTGCAGAAGTTGAAGTGCCCTGGCTCTAGGAGTGCTGACTGGGGTGAATTCTAGCCTATTGAAGACCAAGTGCAAGGAGAAAGTAGGGAGCATCTTGCATAAGAGGAAGGGCCTGTTTGAATAAATGAACAAGAACCACGCTTGGGGCTTCCAGAACTAACGGTAAACACGCACGTTTGTCTTATGTACAGATGTCAGGCAGATGAGAACTTACTTTTCGGTATTCTTCCTGTTGGCCTTTTTTTTTTTTTTTTTTTTTTTAAGTAAATTTCCTTCTGTGTATAGAAGTCCCTGTTGTGAGGGATGGTAATTACTCATACAATCATTTACATTACTGTCACATTCATGAAAACATTTAAAGGTCCTTGCAAAAGTATTTGATACCATAAGCTCAAGGTAGAGGGAAGGAAAATAAGGACACAGGCATAAATTTGTGGCAGGAATGTGACAGAGAAATGTGTGTTCTGAAGACTCAGTGTTGACATTTAATGTCGGGTGGGACCCACGTTTGGCCATCTGTGCTCTTCCAGCTAGCCCCACATTATCATTTACACAGTTCTCTCTGAACGGTTCCTTTGGACAAAGAATAACGTTACTTGTTAAATAAATTAAAAAACAAAACCAAATTCACTGCTGTTGAGTCAGATCCAACTCATAGTGACCCCTCATTGGGTTTCCGAAGCAGTATCACTACAGAAGTAGATTGCCCAGTCTTTCTTCTGAGGAGTGGCTAGTGGGTTTGAACCGCCAGCCTTCTGGTTAGCAGTCAGATGCCTTAGGCACTACGCCATCAGAAAACCAAACACACTGCTGTCAAGTTGGATTCAACTCATAGCGGCCCCTCCTTGGGTTTCCGAGGTGGTATCACTACGGAAGTAGATTGCTTAACCTTCCTTCCGAGGAGTGGCTGGTGGGTTTGAACCTCCAGCCTTCTGGTTAGCAGTCAAATGCCTTAGGCACTACGCTACCAGAGCTCCTGAGCTGAACCTCCAGCCTTCTGGTTAGCAGTCAAATGCCTTAGGCGCTACACTACCAGAGCTCCTGAACTCCAGTTAAATAACATGGGAATTTTTCTTAAGAATCTCCGTAAAAAAGACAGTCACTATTTAACATCATCAACAGTGGCCTCAATACTGTCCTCACAAAAGGCCAATTGGAAATTTTTTAGAAGGGATTTGTGTTCTTGGGTGGCGTGTAAGATTTTGCCAAACTCTTAATAAAATACTCTGATTAGATTACATGTTTGTGGACAGTTCAGGTGATACCTATTTCTGCTAGATACTGTTATTCCTGACTCAATTTTTATTAATACAAAAGGAAATTTCATGTAAACAGTGAGCTCATTGATACCTGAACTTGGCAGGAAATTCATACGGTCTTAAGATTTTATTTTAACTTAGTGTTAAAAAAAATGTTTAACTTTAGAAAGTAAATACAGTGTTGAACAATAATTTTTAAGAGCTGTAAAACCAAGCAGGTGAATAATGTATCATGACTTTTCTTTCTTCCCCAGTTTAATTTTGTTGGGCGAATCCTTGGACCTAGAGGACTGACTGCTAAACAGCTTGAAGCAGAGACGGGATGTAAAATAATGGTCCGAGGCAAAGGCTCAATGAGGGATAAGAAGAAGGTAAGTCTAGCAGTGGGGCAAGTCTACTGTGAGAATTTCCTTATCCTTGTGTGTCCCAGTAACCCACAGTTTTTGATTGTGGGGCTTTGTGTGCATGGAAGACTGTGTTCCATGGAAGAACTGTTAGCAGTGTTAGTGTTGGAATGACCTTGACATTGGGATGTTTATGTGTGTGTGCCATGGTTTTCCTTCCTTAGGAGTCGGAACAGATTTACCCTTAACAGCCTATTTGCTGACTTCAGTGTTTGTCTTTGAGAAGCAGACAATTTGGAAATTAGCCAAAGCATAGTGTTTTATATATATATATATAAATATGCACCTAAGTTTGAAGAGCCTAAACTGTTTGTTTGTTTTGATGAGGTTGAAGGTGCGGAGCCCATGAATAACTGTAGAGGTGCGTAAGGGTGCCGGCAGTTGGTAGACGTAGAGTTTGCCTGAGAGAGGAGGCTGAAGCCCCGTGAGACTAGGCAGGATCCAGCAACGTTTTGCATGGAGATGAGTTTTCGAGGCATTTTGCTTTGAGTTATATTGTTCCTTTGTTTTCTTTTTCTCCACCACATCTTGTCTTGCTGGTTTAATGAGGAAATACCTGTCTGTGCTAGGTGCTGTGGTCGGGAAGGATCCCTTTGCTTGGTTTCCTCTCTTCAGTGATACCACAAAGGCAGAGTACTTTTGAATTCTTATCTGTGTAAAAAATGTTTAATTTAAAAAAAAAAAACCTGAATTTTGCTTCCTGAAGATTGAAATGATTGTTTTTTTTAATGCAGTACCTTGAAAGGGGCCATCTAGTGATGGGCTCCTGCCAGCTGGAGCTTGGCATCGTTCTGTGGAGCTCATGGAGCTTGTGGGTATTCATGTGGGTGTTGTGTCTGTGTGTAGGGTGACAGTGCCTACCTACAGATGGCAAAGGTCCTTATCAGGCTGCCTCATTCACATCATTGCTTCTGCGAGTGCGCTGGCCTGTAAGCCAGGCCTTGAACCAGTTTGGGCTCCTGGTCCCAGAGCTTTGCTTCTTAGAACGTGGGTGTGCAGCAGTGAGTGGAAGGTTGTGTAAGCCTGAGAGGGTGCCCCTTTTGTGTACTTCAGTATAAAAACTGCCTGTAGCTTTAAAATGGTGCATTGTGTTGTCGTCCTGTGTCATAGGTCTTTGTTCTCTGCCCCCCTCCCCGGTCCATCCAGCCTGCTGCCCCTAGACCCCCTGTAAGTAAGTCCCAATAAATCTCCGTTCCAGAGTATGGCTCAGGTCATTTCTTTGGTCTCTCAGCCCCTAGTGTGAGTGCTGCCCTGAACTCACTGGGCATCGTGCCCCTCTACCTCCCTTTAACCCTGTGTGTGTACTAGCATGTGTGCGCATCCCAGCAGGCACTCACTTCACATGGATGCTGCTTTTCTGAGCTTTTCGCCTAACTCCAGTTAAGCCGCACCCCAAGCTACTTGGGTCTTAGTCGGTTTTGCTCCCCTTAGCCAGTGGCTCATAGCTAAGGATTTGGGAGTGGGTCTTCACAGTACTGATTATCTTTAAATCTTACTTAACCTCTTTTTGCCACCTGTTTAGTGATATTTTTAGGGGGAATATGTGTGTTCTCCTTGGGCACTTTTAGGTGTTTTTTTGTTGTTGTTGTTTTGTTTTTTAATTACAACCTCTAAACAAACTTCGGGAGCTCTGGTAGCATAGTGGCTAAGATACTTGCCTGCTAGCCAAAAGGCTGGCGGTTCAAACCCACCAGCCACTCCTCGGAAGAAAGGTTGGGCAATCCTACTTCCGTAGTGATACTGCCTCGGAAACCCAAGGAGGGGTCTCTATGAGTCAGGCTTGACTCGACGGCACATAACAACAACAACAACAACAAACAAACTTCAGCATATTGTTAATCAGCTGAACGGCAGCCTTGCCAAATGAGTATTGCCATCTGATTTTGCTGTTGTTGTTAGGCTTTGGCATTGCATGGGCACGAAGTGGTCTGATTTAATCACCAAGGAGTCACGAGGTGAGGTGTCAGCAATGGAAGGACAGATCGGCTTCATGAGAAGAGTAGCTTCTCCCCCGTTTGAACAAGTGGACGTGTCGGCTAACAGCATTGGGTTTCCTCTCCGCCCGTTAATGCTGCAGTGATGGCCGTGGCCCACTGTGTACACTCCCACACCTTCAGGACACAGACTCCACTCTGGGAGTTGTATCCTTAGACATACATTTTCCCCCTGGGGTCCACCTTGTAGCCCAAAGAAAACGTTTTGCTGTGTGGCCTGCTGCCACAAGGTGGAGACCGCCACGTCCGGGAGCGCAGGTTGTCAGACAGACCACTAGGGTCTGAAGTTTGGTTCTGCCACTTCTTGCCTTTGTGACCGTGGACAGATGCCTGCGTGCCTTGTGCAGTGGGGATGGTCGTGCATGTGGCACGTGAGGTGGCAGTGAGGACTGGCTGGGTTCAAAGCACTCGGGTTTGGCACAAAGCCGACCATCAGTCAGTGTCGCTCTTCGTAACCTTTGTCTTACCGTTGTTGGTTGGATGTCACATCTTCTTTTAGGTGCTCACACACTATTGTTGGGGAATACTACAGGTTTTCAGCTTTGGAGAGGACAGTCCTTTCTTGTTTTGTAACCTTTGGAAATTTTATGTGGTATTTCCTTGGTGGTAAGTGACTACCTGACCATAGTAGGCACTAGAGAAAATAATCAGAAAGGAATGAATGTTGAGTTAATAAATGAATGAAGATCATAGATTACCTCCCCTCAAAAAAGAAAAGTGGTTTGGCCAGTAGAGAAAATGGAAACGCTACGTGCTTTTGAACCTGGGGGGGCCTTAAGTGGTACTGACTACTTCTTGGTGGTTTAAAGCAGGAAGTGAATGTACCACTTTCACTTTGAGTCTCATGGGGGGGTGGCGGCGGAGCGTGACCGATGTGCTCCACAGCACTGATTGGTGTGTTAAATTAACGGACCAGCGCTGGACAATCTCTTGGAACCTGAGAGCAGGAGCCCCGGTGAGGCTTCCGAGAGACTGTCATCAGGGCTTGGAAATCATTCCCTTCGTTTCCAGGGATCCTGCCTTTGGGGAGGATTGACTCCTGTGTTCTCTGATAGATAGGCAGGATAATTCAGTAAAAGAAAGCAGTTCTAGTATTTCGGTGGAGGCCATGGGGAGAGCTGTGGGAAAGTCTTCACGTGATAAGAGCGGTCCACTTCCCATTACAGCGTGGCTGGTGGCTGGATTCCTGCGTGACAGGTGACTGCTCGTCGAGTCATTGAAATAGCAATGTTTCTTATATCATTAGATCCTTGATACTGAGGGTGACAGGTATTTCTTATTAAAGTGGCAGAAGAAGTCTGCCTTTGGGGGCGCATATATGAATGGCCTTTTTAGGAGCCCCATGTGAGTTTTCTCATCAGTCCACAGTCCACTCCCCCTTCGCTGAGAACTCTCCTGTTAAAAAGGGGTGGGGGCCGAATGGATATACAAAAACAAGCCTGCTTCCAGCCAGTCTGTTTTCTTGACCTTGTTGAATCCTTAGCTGTCTGACAACCTTTAACATAGGTACAGTTCATTTAAAACAAACATAAACACAAAATTCATCATGGAAAATTCTAAACAACAGAAAGATGAACAGTGTAAGGAACCCTCTTGTCTGTCTTCTTTCTTGTATGTTCCCATTAATTCCTCATCCTTGTGCCCCCATCCCCACATGATAATTTGAGAAACCAATTCCAGACATAAAATTTCATCTGTAAATACATTACTAAACCAAAAAACCAAACTCAACTGCTGTTGAGTTGGATCCGACTCACAGTGACCTCTTCTTGGGTTTCCAGGGCATTATCTCTATGGAAGGAGCTCTGGTGGTGTAGTGCCTAAGGCACTTGACTGCTAACCAGAAGGCTGGCGGTTCAAACCCATGCCAGTCCTCGGAAGGAAAGTTGAGCAATCTACTTCCATATAGATACTCCCTCAGAAACCCAAGAAACTCACTATGAGTCAGATTCGACTCAACGGCAGTGAGTTTGGTTTTGGTATCTCTACAGAAGGAGATTGCCCGGTTTTCCTTCCAAGGAAAATATTATTAGATGTGTTTAAAATGGAAAGAGTCTTCAGTGGTACTGTGTTTTTCAGGCACCACAAAGATTTCTTCATGCCGTCACATGAAGTACCAGTCAGCGTTCGTAGTTTCCCTTCGTCTCACGCACGATGTGCTTTCACAGAGTCTGTGTGAAGGGCATCCAGAGGAGGGCCGTGTCTGCTGCAGTTGACTGACAGCTCTCTGCAGACACCTTCCTCCTCACTCCCAGTTACCTAGAATGACGGTGTTTTTATGAAATTCCAGCGAGCTCTTATCTGTGGTTTTTGTTCCACTGAATATCCTGGTTCCTGATAACTCACTTCATCTTAAAATATACAAAGCAGTCTCAGAATAACAGTACAGAACCAACTACCAACAGTATAATTAGTGTTCCTTTTCCCTCCAGTTCATACTGTTTGTCAGGCATATTCCACTAGAGATACCAATTATTGCCCTTTTAAAACTCTCCCAGTAGTTGTGCACAGTATGACAGTTATGCCATCATAAGGAGCTACACTCAAGTTCACATGTTTAATTTGGTTTTCTACTTTTAGGAATTGCTTAAATCATTGTTCTGTTCTTTACTTCATACTTGGGAAAACTGGTGTGGTCCCAAGTCACATCTCAAAGCAGAGCACGTGCAGAGAAGGCTGGTATTTGTTTGGCCTCACTGCTTCTTACTCCCTTTCTTGCCATCAGGTAGACTTTCTCCTTCAGGTTTTGCTCTGTCCTTCCATTTCCTTTATTTTTTGTTTTAAATATAGTGTGCGTAGGAGCCCTGCTGGTGCACTGATGAAGCACTTGGCTGCTAGCCACAAGGTGGAAGGTATAAACCGAGCAGCCACTCCACGGGGAAATAGATGCAGCCCGCTTCTCTAAAGCCTTGGACACCCTCTGGGGCAGCTCTGCTCTGTCCTGTAAGGGTGCTGTGAGTCAGAATCATCTCA